TAGAAATAACGGTGTGAAGTTTAGCAATAGAGGTCCCGATAAAGCATTTCTCATGCATTTCTGCATGAGCAATAGAGGTCTCATGCATTTCTGCGGAATGTTGTGGAAAGCATTTTTTAATCAGCATACTCCACTCCTCAATCATTTTTAAGTTTCTAAAATGAATGATGAATAAAATGACTGAAAAAGCAAACATCTCATCGATCATTTCTCCGCGACATTTTATGCGATTCACTTTATGCTCTTTGAAGGCGCTCTGTCTATTTTTCGGGGTGCCACATTCTAAAAGACAACCAGTGAATTTAAATAATATGCAAGTCGAGAAACAAACTAACCAGAGCATCGAAAACGGCGAGTCGACGCATGAGTGATCATGTGGTCAAAGAGATGTGCTGCCCCCGTAATTTCCAGATGAGAGGGACATTGCTCGAACTGGAATGACTCAATGATATCTTATTTTCAAACAAGACTGAAACTAACAAGACATTTAGCCATTTGAGCTTCATGGTTAATAGAGGAAGATTGAGCTTCTAGCGCTTCATGGCGGATGTGGTTGTGATCAATATCAGCTGGCTGGTGTAGTTTCTAAACTTTATGCTAAGCCATAACATTGGCGCACTTGAGAAAATGTAAAGAATACCAAATTTTCCATGTCATCCGGGCTGATTTGATAGGACATACTGTAGTTGTTCCGAGATCCGATAGATGATTCTTTCTAAATCTTTGACTTTAATGCTTTAAGAAATCTATATTCGAGAGGAGAAGGCTAATCAGAATTAAGAAATAGACCAAAAGATTGAGAGTTCAATACCAAGTCAGAGGAATAGAAATAACGGTGTGAAGTTCGCTACAGATCCTAAGGTCGATATTGCCAGAGGCACTTTTTATCCCGCTCCTCCCCTTTCCCACTTCTTTGTGCCCCTTTCTGACTCATGCACTCGACAAATCCGATGAAAGATGAATAAATGAAATTCAAGGCTGAAAATATTCTGGTGAAATATCTTGAAAACTTCCAGATCGGGTTGTTTAAAAATTTTTAGGAGCCACAGAAACCATCGACGACACTGACCTTTCTGTAACGCCGGGCTCTTTGCGTTGCTGGCATCTCCTCGAGGATATCCCTATCCGCAACCCATTTTCTAATCATTGTTTTATCCACATTAAAATGAATAGCTGCCGCTAGTCTTCCATGCTTATCCCGGTACTTCACCGCATCAAGCTTGAAAGCCGCCGTATAAGACTTGCGACGTTGCATGATTTCTATAATAAAAAATATAAAACGTAAGGTTAAAAAACAAAAAAAAAGAAAAATAAAGAAAAAAATTGATATCTATCACAAAATTTCAGAAAAAAGTATTTTTTAGCAAAAACTGCTCTTATCTAATCTATGAAATTTTCGGGTACATTCGATGCCGGATCACCGTCCCTTTCTCGTATTTTTGAGGCTGATAAAGGAGGGAAGAGAGTAATTTCGAGTCAGCATGGGTGTAGGGATGACGTCTCAAGTGAAGGGAGGTGTCGATCTGAATTCCATTAATAACTTTTTCATTATGTGCAGTGCAGTTCTTTGCTTTATTTGAGCTGATCTTGAAGATTTCCTTAACTTTTAGTGAATAAGATTGCCTTTATCATTTTCTTTAGGCAATTTATAAGACAAGTCCTCACTTGAGGAGGGCTAAGAAGTAAGAATTCGTTCGAGGGCCAAGAGGAATGGCAGACTGCGGTAGGTGCTCGCTGCGAGCTCATTCCGAAGCCCAGTAAGGATAAGCTCTAACCAGAGAATCCTGAATGTATTAATGATGCTGAGAATTAGAGCTTTCAAATGATATATGATACATGCTAGTTTCTATAGAAAGTTTTTAAAAAAAGAATGGTTTTGGGCCACCCACAGCCTGGCACGGTGCCAAAAAGACGTTTGCTATTTTGTGCCTTGTGATACAGTCATGGACAAAAGTCTTTACCCCTACCGAGGTCAGCTTTTAAAACGCAAAATTTTTCAACTTTTTAACAAGTTTTAAAAATTGTTTTCAAAGTATTTTGTAGCATTTTTACTCTAGTTTTTATATCCCATAACCAAAAGAAACAACGATTTATTTTAGGCAACAAAGAACGACGTTAACAAAAAAAAACCCTCAAAACAGGTGGACAAAAGTCTTTACCCCTCGAACAAAAAGTGAGAAAAAACCGAGTATTTTAATATTTGGTAGGGCCTCCTTTTGATGAAATTATTGCTTGAATCCTTCTCGGCATCGAGTCGACCAAATCCTGTAAAATTTGAGGACCTATCTTTGTCCAGACGTGTCGAATGAAGTACCATAGCTCAATCTTGGTATTGAAGCGTTTTCCCTTCAATTTCTGCTTCAAAAACGCCCACAAATGTTCGATAACGTTCAAATCCGGACTGTAGGGAGGAGCAGATACGAGCTGAACGCCATTCGATCGGAACCATCCGGGTAGACGAGCTCTACCACCGTTGGCAAGGCGAACAACTCGTCCCATGGTATCACTAGAATTAAAAAATAATAAAGCGTTACACACTCAACAAGTTTGCGAAATGATAAATAATGAAAACTAGGCGATCAACCTTCCGAGTCTTCGGCGCCTCCGATGTAGAGGATGTTGTTGCACCTAGATTTAAACAAATTAGACAAAGATACACTAATCACCTTATTAAAATTTCTCCCAAAGCTTCAATGTTTGTTCTTCAATGTATTCCTCCGCGTTAGCCATCTAAAAGATAAAAAATTTATTTGCGAATGCCTAGGCCTAAGCAAGCTTCCTCGTCATATATCTGACTGTTCACAAGTGACATAAAAACTAACAAAATTCAGAACGTACCTCTCCAAACTATGTAGCTTTAAGCTATGTCATAAAAACTGTATACAAAGACAACCTCACCTGGACATCCATGTAACCGCCAACCGAGACGAGGACGCCTCGATAAAATAATTGCTCGTCTGAACTTTTTTAAACTACTAGAAGGAAGTTAAAGATATTCAGCTAAATAATGAACGTCTACATTTTTTGAAAGAAAATGGTTATGAAGGTGCATTTTGAGAAATTTTCAGCGCTAAAGCTTACACCTTTTTTAAAAAATTTTTTTGTTTTGGTGATACTAGCTCAATTCTGATTAGTATTTTTTTTGACTGCAATGGATAAAGCGAAAATCAAACGTTATGAGAGTCAGCTTTTCACAACTTCTAAACCGGACGAACAAGCGCACAGATGCGTTGTGGTTTTCGACAAAAAGCATGCGGCATCGTTTCAACGTTTCAACGTTTCAACGGCATGGTGATCGTTCGTCATTCGAGAAGGATGAAAAGCTCATCTTGTACAATGTGATAGAGCCGGATTTGAAGAGCTACCTCTACCTTCCCTATCGGTCGCCTTTTCTTTTTGCCGAACGCTCCACAATCCCGAACGAACAATTGGCTACCTAAAAAATGTTCATTATTAGTATAATTGACCATAACAACGAAAGAAATGTAAACGAAGAACGAACCAAGACAAAAATCTTTCTAGCAATCACAAATTTACTGTAAAAAGGGATTGTATTCATTTCCGCCCCCGCGGGCCAAAAATCGACGATGTCCTCCATGATCGACTCGAATGCATTCACTCCGGCAGGCAAATTGCGATGCGACAATCCCTCAGCGATATACGAATCCACCATGGTGCCGTGGGTGCCATGTCGACGTCTGTTCATGTCTTTAAACGGTTTCCACATTCGCTCGATTGTTCGCGTGTGCACGGTCGGACCTATCGGTTTTCTTTATCGGCAAAGACATGATCTCTCGTCTGAGAAGTCATTTGATGGCGATTAGGAAATGGGAAACGCTTTAGTCTCGAAAACCGTCAAAAACTACTTTTGGACTGGTGAGTGAGGGTTAGATAACGAAAAGATACGAGTAAGGGCAGCAACTCTAAGCTTCAGGATCCACCAAGCGAGTGAGAATGGGGCGGTTTCGAGAGTTATTTGCCAAACGATCCACAAGACTGTCGACGAGATTTGTGTCAAGAATTGCCGGGTTCGACCTTTAATTCTTTTCAACTATCAACAACCGGAACTTGGGAGTAAAACTGAACCTATTCCTTTTGGTCAGGGAATTTAATGCTCATATTCTTTCATTAGGCTAGGGAATCGCATCATTGAATCAAATAGCCAACCTCCGAATCACCCAAGACTGCACTGATTAGGAGTAAATGACCCTTGATATCGTATTGTGGATATTTTTGAGGCGCTGCTCACCTCGCCGAGCAATTGCATGGTCATCACTCCGGGTGCCGTCCACTTTTAGTTTGGTCCGTTTGGCCTTTTCCATTTCGAGTCCGTTTGGCCTCGGCCCACCAAAAGAGGCAGTCTTTGTCAGCTAAATCCATCCCTCCAAACCAATGGAAAAGTTGTAGAGAATCAAAAATTAGGCTTATAGCCAAATTTCCAAAAAGATACACTGAGTAGTTTCGCTTAAAATGCAAGTTTTGTGAAAATTCGTAAATTTGGCATTTCTTGAAAACCAGTTTTTGAATCGTTCTGAAAATTTGGATATAAGCTTCATTTTTGATTCTCTACCACTTTTCCATTGACACCAAAATGGGTTTCTTTTGAAGAAAGTGCTCAAACTGTCACATATGACGATAGCCGGCAGTTTTCAATTCACCAACCCAATCACTCACAAATCTGTGTGCCGCTTCTCGATCCCTGACCGTTTTATTATCCCTGAAAGAATTAAAGAATATTGAATGGAGTTTGGCGGGGAACACACATGAAAATACCCACATTTATTTCAGGCTCTGCGTTCTTCTCATTCGAAGTTCTATTCGAAGCGATTGTTTCAACGACTTAATGAGTCAATCATCGGTTGGAAGGCGATCGCTTTTCTAAACAATTTCAGAGCCCTCAAAAGCTCTTTTCCGTCAGAAAAACAATTGTTTATCGCATGGTCGCCTCATTCGTTCTTCCCATTTTCCCGAATTCAAAATGAATCAACCAATTCAGCGGAATGGGTGTGATGGCCGTCGGTCTATTCATCACGATTCTCCTCCTTTTCCATCAAATTTCTTCGTCGATTCAACAAAGCAATCAATTGGATCAATTCACGTATTCTTTTCCCTTCAAATAGCTATATTACCTGAGGATGAAATATATATATGAAATATCTGAGAATGAGACACTTCCAGAGATTCCAAGGTCGCCGAAATGTCAAGGACCATCTCCGCATTGAAGGCCGATTTGTGGGTTCAACAATATTAGAATCTATCTCCTGTCGACTGAGAATTGAGAAAACAGCTTTTTCACTCCCAAAACACCCATTCCACTCAATCCAATCAATTCCTCCCATTTTTTTTCAGAAAAACTCAAAATACGGAAGTGAGAGACGGAAAAGCCAAGATTGGAGAGCTCGAAAGGAAAATCAACGCGTTGCAGAGCAAGAACTCTGACCTCGAAACTCAAATGTGAGTTTATTTGGTACCTCTTGTCGACTGACACTTGAGAACACACTCCCAAAACACCCATTCCACTCAATCCAATCATTTCCTCTCTAGACAATTTGAAAGGGAAAACAAAACGATCGAAATTGCGAAGTTGCATGCAGATTTGTGAGTTTTTTTTAAGGAAAAGGATTTAGTATTCGTTTAAAAAGTCTGAAGTACATTTTTCGAAGAAATTCAGAAATCGAACGATGAATCTCTTGAATCTGTATCGGGATGGATGGTCGTATTTGGCAAAAACCGCTTCTTGGTACAAGGTTTGGTGGATGTTGTGAACCAGGATTATCTTCATCTCAAGGTTATCGATCAAGAAATTACATTTGATGAAGCCGAGGCATATTGTGCGAGTCGAAAGAGCCATTTAGTCACAATTCACAGTCAGGAAGAGAACGATTTTGTTCAAGAACTCGGTAAGAAATCGAAATGATTCAATTTATGCAGAAATTTATGCTTTATAAACCAAAAACAATCGATTATTTTAGCGGAAACTGTTCATTCGACTTCTGGCTTCTGGATAGGACTGAAGGTTGAATTTTTCTTTATCGAAAGAAATAACAAAAAAAGAAAGTAATGGTTGAAAGAACCGAGAATGGCTGAAAGAGCCATTCTCGGAAGGCTCCTTGTAAAAATGATTCGTTTGATTGATATTTCTTTGGTAGAAATAATGGTTTCAATTGAGAAACTAGGATAATTTCAATAATAAGAAAGGAAAATCGGATCGAAATATCAATGTCTAAACATAAAAATTTCTTTATTCAGAGAAATCCGAACCAAGGAAAAGCTTTGGAATGGACGGATGGAAGTTCGGTGGATTTCACGAATTGGTATCCGGGAGAACCGGCTTCGAGAACCCACTCTACGGTGAGATTTTCAAAGTGAAATCATCAATATTTATTCCAATTTGCAATGCATAATTAATCCAAAAATATTTCGATCAGTTTGAGGAAATTTCTTTTTGTGAAATAACGCAAAGTGTTTTATCAAAGAATTTTCATCAGAAATTAACTCATTTCAGCTTCTGAGCCACGATGGGAAATGGCAGGTCATTGTTCCTACCCATCAGCGTTATTTTATCTGCAAAAGGAGCTCTCAATTCTGATAGATGCTTTGTGTTCCTTTCTGTGGACAAATACCAATAAATCCCATTTTATTCAATCTTCTGAAAACACACAACTGCACATTATCTTTTTCTTTATTTCTGAATTTTCCGGGCTGCGTTTCGCACCGTTGTTCCATGGTAGGCAACTGGCCATTCCCCATCAACGCTTCGAATGCGATTCTTGCTAAACTTAACTATTGAAATAGACAAGGGAATCTGTACTTTCTTGTGTTTGTTCCAAGCCAGTCCAAATTATTGTACTTATTAGTCACATTCAGGCCAAAATGTTCGGCCTAATCTTCTGAAAACACACAACTGCACATTAACTTTTTCTTTATTTCTGAACTGTTTCTTCAAAATCTCTTATAAAAAGTTTTCCCAAAAACCCAGAATTCCGCCTGAAGCTGCAAGGATTTTGCTCTTTCGTCGCTCCTGAATCAGATCTGGAATATGGAATACAATCAAAATGGATTTCATTCGAAATTCCCCATTCATTTGCCTCAAAATAAAACAAAGTTTTGATGGAGATCAATTATGGAGAAAAGTTCCCGTGCTCTGAGACAATTGGTCGCTATTTTCTGCGCAAAATCTCTTACGCTAGTTTTAGATTCATGGCTTTTTTCTCGGATCCATCAAATAATCCATTAAATTGTACTCATAAAATGCTTTATGCCGACCTTCGATTTTGTTGTCTATTTCGCTTTATGTAGCGATTCACTGGTAGTTTTGAAGAGGGTCTTTTCAAAAGCTTTTCCAGAAGTGAGCAATAAATTCGAGATCTATTGGTCGATTTGGAATTTGGAGTTTATGAGTGACTTTCTCTCCGAAAATCTTCGGTCAGGTAAGAAAATTAATATCTCCGTTTCGGCAGTTTTAAGGCTGAAGAAAAATCGAGAAGATAAAAGCCTTTTCCAAGGATCGACTGGGGCTTCAACAGATTGAGAATGATTCAAGTGAAGGAGAAATCTTGTCGTTGCTAATCGCGAAGAGGAACACCAAATTATTCTGGACCGACACCAATGAAATTGAACGTTCTTTGAACATTTTTTGGAAGCAAACGCCAATTTTTAAGAAAAAACTCGATTCGAATCGTTTTCTTTACTTTGCTCTTGATATCGGCTCCGATCAATCGTATTCATTGTATTCTGTGCTACAATTGACGGTTGAATCAATTCTTTCAGTGATTGACAGTGATGATTAGACATTTTTTGAAAGGTTTATTCCAAATTGAGTAACTTTTACCAAATCAAATAACCCTTGGAATTCTAGAGCTTCAACTACTTTATATAAAAATCTCCGAAACCGATCTGCAAACTTCTTAAACTTCTACTTAAACTTGATAAATTATCTCCGACTTTTAAAAATTCCCTGATTTGTGTGAGGTTCGTTCACTATAAATTAACTGTTGTATTTTGTATTCTCGAATAAATTTATAACGGAAAAATTGAAGGCATCATAATTCTTTGCTGAAGATTCAAGATTTCACCAAGGATGATCAGAAATTCGATCGTTCAACTGATTTGCCAATCGTTGCAACGAAATTCTTCTCGCAGCTTTCTCTTCGTCGGTGAGTGGACTGCGGCGGACGGGTCTGAATCCAAATTGTATCCTTTAAAATCAATTCTTTCTCGATTAAGCATTTATTGTTTCAAAATTGATTATAAATCTAGAATTGAAGAGTTGAATCAGTTAAGAATCGCTTAAGAACTTAAGAATTTCCTTATTTAAATCACTTAAGAATTCAATCAGTCTGAGATTTACGTAATATATTACTTTTAGAAGCCACTTACCCCGCGAAACCAACAGAAATAAGTGCAAGAATGAAAATGAGCAAAATAAACCGCATTTCCGAACAACTGAATCTTAATCTGGAACTGAAATTTGATGAACAAAATCTTAAACGAAAGCTCTATTTATTCGATGAACTTTTTTCTCGAATGGTCTCACTCACATAACCCCCAAAAAGAAGTTTTTAGAGATTTTGATTGATTAAACGTTTTCCAATCCCTTTCTGTTCATCGAAAAGCAAAAAAATCTTTATCAGTGCGCTTTTCTCCGTTTTGTTTTGAAGAGGCCATTAAAAGGGCAAAAGACGATTGGGGGTTCAAAATGATCGAATTTACTATTCCTGCAGAGGAACTGTAGCCGATGAATAATTTCTACCAGGTTGGAAAGAAAGTTCGCAGAAGATGTTTGACTGGAATTTCTTCAAAACAAATCCATCAATTCAAGAGCACTTTGTTCTATCATTTACAATGAACTCCAAGAAATTACTCGTAAAAAATGAGTGCAGCTTTCCCTTAAAATTTAGAGATTTATGAAAAAGTATTCTTTTTCAGCCTAGATTGAGCTCATTTTTTTGCTTTTCAAAAAAAAATGATTTCTCATGAAGTAAACCAAAGATAAATATGCTCTATAATCTCTCTTTTTTGTCAAAAATTTTTTTTGAAATCTAGTCAAGTTTCTCAAAAAATTTGGAAAGAACTGATGGCTTAGTTTTTGAGAAATTTTTGAGAAATGAGCTTTGGAGACTTTTTCTACGAACTTTCTTGTCATTCTACTGGTTTAAAAAATGTTTGGTTGGGCTAAAGAAGGCCATGAAAAAGGCTGGCCACAATCTAGCTAATCTTAAATTTTTTTGACACCTCTCGACTGAAAAATCGACATTGAGCTCAATTTTTAGCGACTCGACTCGGTAATCTTTGAAATTCCTTTGAAATTCCCTTTGAAATTCCCTTTTATAAATCCCAGAGCATCTTTGATTTCAAGAGTACACATCACTACGTTTTTTTTCATTTATTTTCCAAAAGTCACCCTTGAATCGCATTTTTTACCAAATCCCTAGAGGACTTTGGAAAAATTTCCCCAAAAAAAGCTCCAATTACCCGAAAACGGTCAATTTTCGAGGGTAAAAGTCCGTCTGAGCTATTTTTTTTTGAAAATATGAATTCCTCGCTTCAAAGTCGATATGTTTATTTGAGTTGCTTTCTCGGCTTCACTGCGAACGGCTTTCTACTGTATTTTATTCTCACCGATAAATCGGTAAATAAAAGAAAGGCTTAAATAAGAGATCTCTGAAGGAAAGAGTTGCTAAATCTTCAAAGTTTTAGAAGTCTCACAATGGATATAAACGAATTTTGGGCATTATCACACTGTATAATCTCTACTATGGACTCGTGCATGCAGTCACGGATATGGTCAAGATTTTATGAGACTTTTTGAGAAAACAACTTGAAAGTGATATCATGAACAACGATATGATAGAATCAAGGTCATTTTTCGAATCAAATCCAGACTTAGAATTCAATTTGATTGATTTGACGCTTAACCAGGCCATAAAAAAAGAAGAAAGATAAACCCAGCAATGGCTTCTATCCGGTTTCAATCCTTTTATGACTTTCAGTAAAGATTTTCTGAGACTTTTTGAGAAAACAACTTGTAAGTGATATGATGAACAATGATATCATAGAACCAAGGGCATTTTTTCAAATCAAATCCAGACTGAGAATTCCATTTGACTGATTTGATTTTTTGGTCGGCTTTTGTTCTCTTTAGAAAGCAGAAAAGCTGTTTGGAAAAAGACGAAAAGTCGCTCAAGTCTGACGAAAAAGCAAAAAGGTACTTGTCGATTATATTCCACAAAATTTGCATTTAACCTAAATTTCCATTTGCAACTGTAATTGTAAATGCTTGAGGTTCAGGGTTTCTTTCGTATTTTGTCTATTAATTCGGATTAAATGTGAATTTTTTTATGAAAATGTAGATAATTGTTGTTGGTGTATAACCGACAAGCATCGATACCCGAATGCTGAAATTCTTAATTTGGAATGAAGGCCAAGTCTACCCAAAAAAGCTATAATTAAACATGGGATTAATTAAATTAAACAATTAAACAAGCCGAACCTAATTCCATCTTCGTTTTCTCGGTCGTTTCTTGACCGATTGCTCTGAAATTTTTGTCTACAAATAAATATTGACATTTTCAGCTTGTGGACGAAATTTCAGAGCAATCGGCTGAGAAACGGTCGAGAAAACCAAAGTGGGATTTGGGTCGGATGGGAATTTTCCCTATCTTATATCAATATCTATCAATATTTTCCCCATATCTAGACACTGTCTTACACTTGGATCTTATATCAATCTACTAGGCAAGGCCGGCGCCCAAGACCAACTTCTGACTTGACCTGACTCGAAAAAATTGTTGGGAATGATTCCCGGTATTACTCTGAAGAAACCTATCATTCTTTTTCAAGCTTACTTCAGGGGAATCGGCCGTTTCTCAGCCGATTGCTCTGAAATTTCGTCCACAAGCGGCAAATCTCAATTTTTATCTGTAGACGAAATTTCAGAGCAATCGGCTGAGAAATGACCGAGAGAACGAAGGTGGAATTTTCCCATTATGAAAAACGATTAACCGTTCAGGGATTTCTTCTCGAAAAAGACGGTTTTGTTATGTTCAGCAAACAGATGCAACCATATGGCTTCTGGGCCTCCTATCTGGCCACAATGATAAACCTTTTCATAACTCTAAAATCAGAAGATTGAAAAGCGTGAAAATTTGGTCCTTTAGGTGTACGTTGACTCATTCATCATGTCGATTTCCCTTCTCGCCATTCACGGTCTCTATCGATTTGTTAAAATCACAAGGTATCACGCAAAGAAAGATTTCTAAAGATTTCTGAAGCTGAACTCTTTCATTTCTAAAGCTTTCTAAAACTGAACTCTTTCATTTTGAAAGCTTTAGTTTGGGGTGCGACCCGCTTTAACCTTATCCACGAGGATGATTCTGCTTAAGAATGGCCGAATAGCACAAAAGGTTAAAAAGGGTTTCCCCAAAAGCGCTTATAACGTAACAAGAACACGTAGTATCCAACAATAGATTAATACTCTTGAGAAGAGTACGGATCGGATTGATACTACGTCGATGGTGACACAAATGTTAGTAAAACCAGTTATCTAAGCAGGGTTTAAAACCTGAAGGGTAGCATAAAGCAAAGTGAATTTATAATGTTACTGTTTATTAGTACAGAACCGAAATGCAACAATAACCATTACAAAAACTGCATGCGCATCAAAAATGAAACAACAAAAGTCCCCCAAGAGGGAAGGCAAAAGCCCGCAGACTAAAAAAAAACAATTTCGGGAAGGGAGAAAAAGGGCGAAAAATGCGACGCGAATAATTGCAAAATAGCAACGCAAATAGGAAGGAAACGGACGCGACCCTTTCTAAAGCTTTCTCTTTCATTTCTAAAGCTTTCTAAAACTGAAATCTTTCAGCAAATTGACTTATCTATTTGATCGTTGGTCTTATCTATCCGCCATCGTCGTTGCTCACTTTTTGTCGGGAGTTCTCTGGCTTCTGTTTTGTCAATTGTCAATGAATGTAAGCTAATCGTTAGTTTTAACAGTAAAACAAAGTAAAACCCATCATGATGTATTAAAGTTTCATCTAAATGCCATCTAAATGTCATCTAAACTCATTTTTTAAGCCATCACCGGAAAGAAATCGTGTGAGTCGCGAGAATCTGCTCAGAAAGTACAATGTGAGCATCGAGAATCTCGGATACTTGGGACCACTTTATATGGTAGGTAAACGTTAAACGAAAGAACACGTAAAGAACCTTCTAGAAAGCACTTATGATACCAAAATCTGTCTGAAACCACCTTTAGATAACGGATGAGAATGGAAAAACAAAAGTACTGTGGAAAAATCTGATCGGAAGTATTGGATGTCTCAGCCTGCTTGGTCTTTTTTATACAGTCGTTTGTCTATTCGGATTAAAGCTGTAAGTTAAATTGTAAGTTGAATATTTTGAAGCAAAGCATCAAGAAAATTTGAATCAAAGCAATCTTGTCTCAAATCAAATCGAATCAAAGCTATCAAAGTGTTGAACTTTTTTAGCTTACGCAGGGAACACTGAATTACTGAAATCAGCTAAAAACTCAGCAAAAATGTCTAGAAAATAAAATGATTGGCTCCTTTTATGCTAAATCGCTAAATTTTATGATTATTTTACATATAGAACAATGCCGATTCAATCTTTCACCTTAACTTTGGACCATTCCCTTGTCAGATACCTGACTAAAGGAGGCCCCGATTACCGTAACCCGCTCAACCTTTATCTGTGTGTTCCTCTCGAGTAATGCAGTTCCGCGTAACGTAAATGACCGTAGCCATCAACTTAAATGCAAATTGATCGCCTTCGACTGTGCACTGATGGCTCAGTGGGAGCGCTTGTCTCTTGTACACGCGATCCGGGTTCGATCCATCGACATCGACATCGACATCGACAACGACATCAGCCTCGACAACGACATCAGCCTCGACAACGACATCAGCATCGACATCGACATCAGCATCGACACCAGCATTGATAACGACAACGACATCGACAACTTTACTTATTTCTTTTCCTTTTTCAAAGTGGAGTTTAGTAAAAATTGACTATTCCTATCTCACGAATTTTCAGCTCAAAAAATCTATTCTCGACTACTTTTTAAAATGAAACAAGAATGACTGTTTCGGGGGTTTTAAAGTTTTTTCGAATGGCATTACTTGAATTACTCAAGGCGTTACTCAAAAATTACTGACGCAAATTTATTTAAGTAATTACTTACTCAATAAGAACACATTCTAGTTGAACATTGATGCAATTGCATCCCAGAAGCCCGGTTTCAATCCTTTTATGACTTTCAGTAAAGCCAGGATTGGCTTGCCTGGTCTGACTTCTGACGAGAAATGATTCTAGAACAACTCCTGATACAATTATTGCTTTGATTCTGAATTTGAAAGCTTGAGAAAGGTGTGTTTACGCCGTCAAGCACAGCCTTTATCTTCGAGTCAATCACTATTCAGTTTCCTTTTCATCCGCGCATCACCCGTCAGTGAGCGAACAAAACGAATGAATTATCAATTGATGCGATTATTTCTCATTCAAGTACACGTTTTCCCACTTTTAAACGATAGAATACCATAAGCTTTTTAGCTGATTTAGAAAAATTGAAGGAATTATGTAAATCTTTCAGGCGGTTGTGCCTCTCTTCTTTGAATACCTTCCATGTTTCACGAATGTCGCGGCTGGACCGTTAGGTTCGCTGGAAACTAGAAAACTGTTCGGTTTTCATAAAAAACGCTTCAAGTTGTAAACATTGAAAACTAATTATTCAAACGAATAATCAAACAACCAAGAAATCACCAAAGAAATCTTCTTTCAGGTTTTCCATATTACGAAGAAATTGGCTATTATCAACCGATCTTTGTCTCATTGTATCCATTCATCGATTCAACGATGGTTTTCGTTGGGTTCAGGGTTGGTTGACTTTGAAAATACTGCTTCAGAGTAGTGCTGTAGCACTGTACTCAAAAGTACAATAGTAAATCGCTCGATAGTAAATCGTCGAATCCATTAAAGGGATTCGCCAAAAATGATTTACTATCAAGCGTGATTTACTACCGAGAGTTTTGCCTAATCTTCAATGTAAAAATGTAGGCTGTAGGCTGTAGGCTTTTATAGTAAAAGATGCGAACTTTGGCAAAAGTTAATGATTTACAATTGGATTCACTTACGAAAAACTGTTAATAATATGTAATGAAATGGATTCGAACGAATGAATTTGACCAAGAATGCTCTTTTTCGCTTTCGGTTTCAATCGTTTGGCTGAATATTTTGGTTCGAGCGCAAATAAAATGTAAATTTTGCAACTGTAAATGCAAAATTTAGCTTAAAAATCAATGATTTACTAAGAAGCGTTAAGTACACGTGTTTACCATTGAAGGGATTCTCCAAAAGTGATTTACTATCGGGCTTTTGCGCTTGTATTTTCTTAAGCGTTTTGTCGGGAGCTTTCAAAAGTGATTTACTATCGAGCGTCGACTGTATTTGAGTTCTGCACTCAAAATCAGCTTCATTTCAGGATTACCGGAATCGTATCCTTTCCTCGAGGCCCATTCAATCTCTTCGAAATCTCAAACGTTCGCGGATCTTCCCCTCAAGATCCGGCTCACAATCCCAAAACTGATTCAAATTTGTTGAAAAGTTGCTTTCAAGTTGCTTTTGTGCCAAAAAAAACAGAAATTCTCCTGGGATTTTCAATCAAAAGTGGATTCTGGCCCTACGAATTATGAAAAGCTAAATATTTTATTATCAGCCGAAAAAAAACAGAAAAACCCTGGTAACGACGGGGTTTTCCCGCTTGATCATTTGTCACTTTGGCTCGGTCGGGAGCGCGCTTGTCTACGGCCCGGTCCGGCTCCGACCCCCCGTAATGCCGCGCAATTTTGACTTTTTAATTTTTTATTTCAAATGGCACAACTATATTATATTTTAAGAGCTTTTAAGAGAAATTTCAGCTTTTTTTGGCCCAAAGACGGATGATAAAAAGCCTATAGAGATGGACAGACACTGCTCTTTTATATATAGCAGATGAAGCTGTAAACGAATTTTCGAATCTCGGCTCAAGCAAATCTTTCATTCACAAAAGGCAAAAAACATGGCAAACGTGGGATTTTTCAAACAAAGGTCAGATCAGAAAATACTAAGAAACGTCAAAGTTTAGTAAGGTAATTAGGTCTAGAATTCAAAAACTATGTAATTTTATGATTTTTCACAAGCATTCACTCTGAACAATCACTCAATTGAGCACGAAAATCGTTGACACTGAAAAGAATTGATATTGAAAGTAAAAGAAAGTATGTGTTTTTTTTTACTCACCTGCCACTTTACTACTCGCCCTTGTGTATCGACTTTTCAAGTATCGACGATATTCCGGATTCAAATAGAAAACAACTAACATACTGAGTGGACTTTGACAAACAGTGAATATACAGGCCAGATCGTTGAGAACTGAAATCAAAATAAATCTAGACGTCTAAAAGTTTTCTTGGAAGAAAACCCTCAGTTTAAGGCTCAGTTTTTAAAAGCACAAGTAGAACTTTGCCTTTATAATATTTGAAAATCTATTCAGCTCTAGCATTTCTTCATTTAGCCGAAGAAAGTAGATGAATGAAGAAAGGCCGAGACATACTTTGTCTTCAAAAAAATGGAAATGCACTCCTTCTGGCATACTCAATTATGTGATCAATTAATGAGTTGAATGTAGGTAAAGGTGGCAAAAATTTGGGTGCTTTTGGTTGCAAGTAAATAATCCATCTAATCAAAAGCTCATCTAATCCGAAGCGAATCCGGCTTCGGGTTAGATTTGAAAGACCATAATTTAACCAATTAATTTGTTTAACCGGCAGGAGCCCACTCAACTCCTTGCTTGTCTGAGCGTACACCTAACAGTACACCAGCGTACACCTAACAGTACACCTAACCAAGGGAATGGTCAGAAGTGACCGTGACATTTCGGCACCAAAATGTGGTGCAAACATAAGTCGAATTCGGTGACGCTTTCGGATTTTCCCAAGAAGCCCTAGTTTTCAAGAAAAACGCGTTGCAAGTTTTGGCATCTACTCGAGAAACGGGCGTGCGAGGTTAAGTGGCCTCCGCCGCCGGACCTTCACAGCACTCCGGTGGTCTAGTGGATAGTGAGGGCGTCCGACAAATTTACGCCATTCTTTGCCGCGGGTTCGAATCCCCTCCATGCCATTTTTGGATTTTTCAATTTTTTTCAAAAGCTTTAAAAACATTTTTAATTAATACCAGGACTGGCCTATAGATAAACTTTTCAATGATTCAATGAATGTATTCCAACTGTTTTTTTTTAATTTAACATTTATAGCGTAACTATTCACAAAGCTGCAAATCCTTTAAAAAATAAGGCCGCGGCAAAGAATGGCGTAAGTTTGTCGGACGCCCTCACTAGACCTCCACTAGACCGGAGTGCAGGCAAGGTGGCGGAGGCCACTTAACCTCGCGCGCCCGTTTCTCGAGTAAATGCCAAAACTTGCAACGCGTTTTTCTCGAAAACTAGGGCTTCTTGAGAAAATCCGAAAGCTTCATCGTGATCACCGAATTCGACTTGTGTTTGCACGTTATTTTGGTGCCGAAATGTCACGGTCACTTCTGACAATTCCCTTGTAAGTCGAGACTCACCCTGTCCATACACGAACTCGATATTGAGCATCATCGACGAGAACAGCCAGCAAGTCGGTATCAAATAGCAAATGATACACGGAGAGATCTATTTTTGTTCAGTGTCAATTTTATTTTCAAGTTCACCTGTAATTGTACGCCGATCAAATACTGTTTCACTTGTTGTGCACTCTGAATTGAGACGAGTTTCGAGTAGATTTGAAAGATCATAATTGTTGAAGAGAACAGAATCCATAGGTTTATGAAAATCAGCATAAAACAGGTGAGCACTAGGAACAAGTGGCCATAGAATTTCGTGGTGTCAACGAGGTAAAGGGATTTGGCTGTGTCTGGGGAGTGAAGGCTCGGGAATTGGAGATCCGTCTGGAAATTTGCTTGCACTTGAGTAGAAAGTAGAAAGCATATCCCAGCTACCGTAGCTCCAGTGAAGAGGTACCTGGTTTGAACTTTTCCAATTGATATTTGCTTTTTCTATCTCTATCTAACTCCTTCAATCAATCTCCGGATTACTGTAGCCAACTAGTTAAGGGTTACGGTAGTCGAGCCACGTGTTAAACCGCCAATCCAAGTCTCGTGGAACTTTAGGTTCAAGAAACGTGCTTCTAAAAGCTTATAACACGTGTGTGACGGGCTACTGTAACAGAGACTTCAATCTTTACGGGTTACTGTAACGTATCACCGGGTTGAGGATATGGTAATCGAGTCACGCTTTAAGCCACCAATCCAAGAAGCCGTTGGAAAAAAATTAAAATCTACTGCTTTTATAAGGATTGAAAGTTTATGTTTTCGATTATGTTTCCCTCAATTCCGCAAAAAGTTTGTGGTCGAGTGAATGCCGGCGGATAGGGTTTTTGTTTTCTGAGAGAGCTTTGTAGGCGGGCTTTTGACTCGATGGGGGATCCCAAACAGGGGGAATCCCGTCACATCGAGTTCACTCGAAGAGTCACATTTTTGGGTAAATTTCGAAGATAACCCGACGACTCCGGACCACGAGAAGGAGAAAATTGAAAGGAATAGATATACCCAGCGGTATTAGACTGTGATAGAAAGTGAGCGATTGAGGGGACAATGGGGAAACGTGGGGAGAGAACGCACAGAAAGCGCTCGTTGGGAGGTGAGTCATAGGTGGGAGAAAAGGAAAAGAGCTCTCTTTGATGTTTGTGCCGTAAAAGTTGCAAAGTGTTTTCAATCATAACAACTCGACCGCTATTCGGGATTTTCGAATGAATAGTCGCACTTTGAGGGTCCATAATTTTGTCTAGAGAGAATAATGATTGTTAACTTAATGGAAGACACTTCAGGTTTTGAAATGATACAAAATCAAATTGATTGGACCACAAAATCCTAAGGAAATCAAGAGACAAAACTTTGAAGTCAGATCGCATCGTTCTTTCAGTTTAGCTGTTTGTTTAGCCAACCAAGACCTTGAAAAAACCCCGTCAATCGATTCCCCGACCCCGAGAATTCCCGGGTAAGAATCTTTTTCTATAATCTATAAAGCAAAAGAGAAATTCTTCTGTAAAAGGGTCTCGAGGTTTGCTTTGTGCGACGGGTAATCGCCCGCCATCTGGCATTCCCCTTGTGCTTTCCTTTTGGAATCCTTAAGAGAAAAGGAGCGATGAGTGACTGAGCCGGCTTTCTCGTTTTAGGCTTCTTTTTGTACCATCTACAGAATTTCTTATGTAAAAGGGGTCGCTTCGCCGTTTTGGGGGTCATTATGCTCAAATTTTTGGGAACAATTTCTGCTTTAAATTCGGCTTAATTCTGGGAACATTTTTCTATAAATTCTACATTCTTTTCAACGAAAAAAGTAGCTGAGATACTCAAGGTTGATTTCAATACATTGATAAACCGATTCACTTTCTCCGTTTCGATATAAGACTGCCAATAGGTTGCAAAGTCTTTGAAAAAACCCTGCGGCACAAATTTTAAACACTAAATTTCATTTGGAAATCATTTACAAAAGAAAAGAAAAATCACTGGCTGTTCTTTGTGCGCGCGCGTAATCGCTCCTCAGCTGGCACACTCCAACGACGGATAGATGGTCCCTTTGCGACCAAATCGACGGTGACTTTTAGCACTTTATCCATCGGTGGCGTGTGCCAGATGGGGAGCGATTACGCGCGCTCACAAAGAACGCTCTACTCTGTTGTCTGCTAGTCAATTCATCGTTACCTTCAAAAACTCTCTCGCATTCTCGATTCCATTTTGCTCGCCTCGAATCAAAAGCTGATTGCCAATGACCAAGAACAAAAGTGTAAAATAAAGAATTCCAAGGAATATCATAAAAGTTTTCGTCTTCATTTTGAACGGCGATCCATAAAGGAGAATGCTGTTCGCTCGGAAAGCCGCCAATTGTCCGCACGAAGTCAGCAATAAAGCATTGATGACAACGAAGCAGAACATCGAAAAAGAAAATGTTTATGGAAAAAGAAATCGAGCTCAACGCCGCACTTGTTGATAGAATGTGTCCACATTGAGGACACTTGCCATTAAACCATAAACCGATCCCATATAACGAGGCGTGTGGATTTTCGGCATACACCAAACGCACATGTAAAACTCGAAAAAGGCACCGATGAACTGAAGTTCGAAGTTTTTTCGCTTTCAAAGAGAGATTTTCAAATCCTTCTTAGCATATTGATAACTTTGTGAAAATTCAAAGAAAAAGTTCACTATTTTAGTCATTCGAAAGCTCTGAATCTCTTCTTGAAAACTAGTTATTGAGCTAAAATCCTTAAAAAGTTGAGTTGACACGAAAACTTTTGAACAAAGTCGCTTTGAAAACATTTTCTGTATTTCGGACTAGATTTCTACTAGATTTTTAGTAGGAGCAAGGAAAACGCAAGGAATCACGTGGAAAAGAGATAAGAGAACTTTTGACGATAAACACTTATGAAATCAAATCAACCGGGAGCTTTTAGGGAAATTTTCTAAAAAGGACAGAACTTTCGTAGATACAGTACTGGACAATGAAATATCATATTTGAAAAACGATCGTCACTTTCGCACGTCTGTAACTCCCTTGTCTTTACCGTATTTCTAAATATTAATATTACCATTGTGTAGCCCTTGAAAAGAGCTTTCAGAAAATGTATAACACTAATAGTTTAAACTCAAAGACAACGGAGTTACAGACGCGCGAAAGTGACGATCGTTTTTCAAATATGATATTTCATTGTCCAGTACTGTATTAAGTGAATTGATCACAAAATACAGTCGACGCTCGATAGTAAATCACTCTTCAATTTGATGGATTTAATCAGTCAAGCAATCGGTATTCCGTTCCTTTCTTTTTGCAACCAGTCAATCAAATGTTTCGTTTTATTGTACAGTCGACGCTCGATAGTAAATCACTTTTGAAAACTCCCGATAAAACGCTTAAGAAAATACAAGCGCAAAAGCCCGATAGTAAATCAGTCGATAGTAAATCACGCTCGATAGTAAATCACTTTTGGAGAATCCCTTCAATGGTAAACACGTGTACTTAACGCTTCTTAGTAAATCATTGATTTTTATGCTAAATTTTTGCATTTACAGCTGCAAAATTTACATTTTATTTACGACCCAACCAAAATATTCAGCCAAACGATTGAAACCGAAAGCGAAAAAGAGCATTCTTGGGCAAATTCATTCGTTCGAATCCATTTCATTCCATACCGTATTTTCTCTAATAGTAGTGCACCCGGGCGAGCCGAGTTGGTCACTATTTTACGGCTTCCAAGCTTTTGCGGAAGCTCAACACTCAAATCCCCCACAAGATCTCATCGTCAGCTACATTTTCCCATCCCACATCGATAGGTTCTGATAAGCGGTTCTGGAGATTTCGAACAATTTAGATGACGCGCAGGGTGCACTACTATTAGAGAAAATACGGTATTATTAACAGTTTTTCGTAAGTGAATCCCATTGTAAATCATTAATTTTTGCCAAAGTTCGCATCTTTTACTATAAAAGCCTACAGCTTATATGCTTACATTTTTACATTAAAGATTAGGCAAAACTCTCGATAGTAAATCACGCTTGATCGTAAATCATTTTTGGAGAATCCCCTCAATCATTTATTATCGAGCGTCGACTGTAATTACTTTGAAAATCGCGGCCCGGCCTCGAATTTGCTCCGGTCTAGCTGCCGGAATTCATTTACCGTGATAACCCAATAACAACGCACCATCACTTCGAAATGTACAAATCATTCTTTTCTTCGTCTAACGGCATCAATTTCCGGATGCCGAAAAGTGTGCGAATGAGTCAGAAATGGACAAAAAGAGAACGCAGAATTTTGGAAAGAAAACAAAAGAAATGACATTTCACACTTGTTCATTGGCTTTTCGTCCAACTTATCCTTCTTCCACGTTCAAAAGCTCAAGACTTTTGCCTTTCCCTTCGCTTTTTTCATTTGATTTTGATTGATGAATTTGATTTCTTCGAAAATTCATTCCTACATTTTCAATTATCTCTACTTTCCAATGCGTTTATAAAAAAAAGCCTCACCAAATGTACGAGTAAATGATATTTGTATTCACCGATCGCCTTATCAGTTTTGAATATGATCACATATAAGCCAAAAGCATTCAAAATCAACGAAAATGGTCCAATCACATGGTAAAAAATGGTGAGCTCGAAGAATGGATTCGAATAAAAATCAATAAGATTCGACTGATTTGAGATCATTTTGAAAAATTGTTTTTTTTCCGGGAAAGAAAAGTGACATTTTGAGCGCTACACCCATTAAAAAAATGCACCTGCTTTGCTCGACTAGAGGGCAAAATTAGACAAATTTGTCTAATGAAAAGTTCAATTCGGTAGATGAGAGTAAGAGTAAACTTCGGTTGGGAAACAAATTGAAATCAATTGTGAAAGCACATTTTTGTGTGGCTTTTTGGGGGCCTAAAAGGCATTCCATTTTATTGTTTAACATTGCTGGAATAACTTATTTCCTCGGATTTCTTCGTGATTTCAGATCTATTTCCATTTGAAATTATGGACAAGTTGCTGATTGCCGGGCGACGGATCTCGCTGAGTTGACGAACAGAGACATCCGAGGATCTCAATTTGACCATTTTCAAGATCCGGCGTCGATAGGCCTGAAATGAAACAAAGTGTTGCTCTCCATCTGGTACATGCCACCGATAGATAGTCGCGCTGAAAGCGACCAAGTTCGAAAGCGACCAAGTTCCCACGTCGACTTCGTCGCTTTCAACGCGACTATCCATCCGTGGAGTGTGCCAGCTGAGGAGCGATTACGCGCGCGCAAAGAACAGGTAGTGATTTTTTGTTTTTCTTTAAACGATTTAGAAACTTTCAATGTTAACAGCTTATGATTACAGTCAAACCCACCTGAACGATTCAATAAGATTCGTCTGCAGTTTGTTGTTGTTTTTTAGAGAAGAAAAACATTGACTTGGGTTCTTATATCTTTAGAGTAGCTTATAAAATATTTCTGGGAACTAAATATCGGCCAATCAGGATCTCCTTACCGTGAAACCAAAAATGACCATGAGCGCCTCGGCGGGAGAATAGCTGGCAATCATGATCGGCATGTACATAGCCACCTCGTGCAATGGAAGACCTAAAGGATTTTCTTTTATCCAAAGGATCTTATACAGGCTTTGGCAAATATAGTGTTGCGCTTAATGCATCTTTTTTAATAGTATACCTTTAATAGTGGGATAATTCGATGAACTTTTATAAGCTTACGAGGCTTATAGAGGATTTCGCGCTGCATCTTTTTGCCTTTCTAAGACAATACATTAATTGTATCTTGTATAGGGTGTTAATTTAATGCATTTTGTTAATGATAATGTTAATGGAGTATTTACTGTCCCAAATCGGGAAAAACTGGATCAAAATCGGTTCGGGAGAAAAAGTGCTAAGTTCACATCACACCAACTTCTTCAAAAGGTGATTGCTAACCATTTTCTGACTGTCCTGGCACGCCTTGCAAAAATTAAGTCTCGGTAAACTCATCAAACTGAGTGTTATTTGCCTGACCCCAAACCGGACCCGAACTTTTCTCAAATGATTTGAGTCGACTGGTTCTAGGCACTTCCCAAGAACTAGAAAGTTTGATGGAAAGTGAGTTAAAAGCGTTTTTAGGAACGACAATAGACCTATTTCGTCCTCCCAGAGATTTATGGTAACACTGGCATGCTTTAGAGTGGCTATCAGAGTAGACGTTCAAAAAGTTGACAAGTACAGGGTGCGGCATTTAAAGTATTGCCCTTAATGCATTTTTTTTGACGTTCTAAGACAATACATTAACCAAAGCTGAAAAACGGCCATCAATCATAAAATCTACGCGTAATTTTACATAGAATAGAAGAAGCGTAAGATTTTTGAATGACTTTGGCAACCTTAGCCGAACAGTACAAAAAATGCTATGTGTTATGGAAAAAATACGAGAAATGTTTTTCAGTCTTTTTCTGCATTAATACGTTTTTAGAGTTATTGCTAAACAAAAACGGGCACATTTTTGACGGATTTCATTCTTTCAAGAGCAGCAATCACGTTTAAAGTCTTTCATTTTTGCACAAACTCATGGATTTAGTGAAAAAATGTCCGCAGATTTGAAATGCCTAAACGAAGAAATCGTCAACTCTTTTGGTTTTTGAGAAAATCATACTTTTGTAGAGCGCATATGCCACACCTTGTACACAATATTCTATCCTATATTAATATTCTATTGCAATTCTAATTGCAAGTTCAAATTTTCAGGTCAGGCCAGAATATGTCAGAATATAATATTAGAATATAATATATACTGACTTTTCGTGACTTTTGACACTGTCTTCTTGACCTGGAGGAGCCGCCATTTTCACTTTAATATATATTTCTTTTTGTCAACCATCAATTAAAACCCCTCTTGAAAACATCCGATTCTTTAAACAAAGATTTTTTTGAAAAAGAAAAGATTTATTGATCATCAAAACAAAAGATCAAATAGGAAAACGTGTGAATGAAATGCAGTCAATGCAGCATGACGGATTAATACAAAAAGTATAAACGAATTTTGAAATTGCGTCATTAATCCACACGTTTTCCTACTTGATCTTTTGTTTCGATGATCAAGAAAACTCTTTTGTTTAAAGAATCGGAACATTTTTTGTTCACAGCAACAATCCCATGACGGCTGAATTTACCCATGAGTTTCACTCACCAATAAACCCTCCCCAAATCGTGCACATCGCCGGGGTGTAATCGAAAATGACTGGAGCGAGACCCTGAAGTCTGCTTTCATCGAGAAAAGACAAAGATCAAACCTGAATCAAGAGTAATCTCAATAATTGTATATTCATCGCTTTCTTTTTCTCGCTGATCAGCGCGGATCTCACGAAATTGTATCTGAAATTGAAAGAAAAGAACCTGAAATCTGATCAAGTTTAATGTTTGAACTTTCAGAGTAATCTTTGGCTTTCGAATGTTTGAATGGTCACGTAAACTATACAAGAATCTTAAGTTGAAAAGGCTTCTGAAATGTACAATTGAATCAAAGCAGGCAACTCTTCTCACTATCAGAAGAATATGTACATAGCCTCTGGACTTGATTACTCAACTTTGTATAGAATAAAAGCAATAGAGAATAGAGAATAAAGGCAGTCAACTCTTCCCACTGTCAGAAGAATATGTGCCCAGCATCTGGGCTTGGTTACTCAACTTTATATGGAACGTTTTTAAGTTTTGAACGAAATTCCAATCACTCAAATTCTCCGATAATTCAAGAAACTCACAATTTCCATCCACACGCGCAGATAACAGTGAAGATAATCATTTGAACAATCAGACAACTCAAAGAGCCGAGCATATTCCCGAAAAGAATCTCCACTTTGCCTGTTTGTGGGTTTTTTAACTGAAAAGTAACTAAACTATGTTTACACCGAAAACGTTTTTTTCTATATTTTTTTGTTTTCTACCTTGTAAACAGGTCCCATATATCCCAGTCCATCAATGCTGACATTATATCGAATCCGGAGCTCATCTCGTCGCAGCAAATCACTGGCCGGGGATGGCTGAAAGGAAAGATCAAGTAATTTCCCCATGGGTTTTCCCCAGATAGTACATTTTAAAACGAAATAGTTGTGGCTAGTTTAAGCATAGATCTTTTAGGCTAGGTTTGCCGTTTTTTAGGCTACAAACAACGAGATCATTCGTGATTTTACTTATACAAAGAGTTAACCAACCGTGGCCTGAATTAATTAACCTGAATCGTGGTCTTTTGCAATTGTTTTAACGGATTTTATTAAATTCCACATGCACCAGTTTGATCAGAATTCAGTTCAATCTGTCCAAGCAGTTCAATCTGTCCAATGAACCATCAAATTTCGAATTTTGAATTGGCCATTCTCTGTTGCTCTCCTAAACATATTATTCAAATAAGTTGCAAGTCGATCCTTCATCGAGCTTAAGTTTCAAAGATTTTCATTATACTTTTTGTGTATGGATAGTGGGGGTGATTTGGGTCGACAAACAGGAGCTTGTGATTGACCGAACTATGGTCGTTTTGCCGTTGAAGTAGCTTGATTTCCCCAGCTTGAAGTGAATGATTTTTGTACCTTATAAGTAATGCTACTCAAGTGAACTGAAAAAGCCACCGGCAGCAAGAGTCTGTTGGATAAGACAAGCACAGTGGCAGCATTCCTTTTAGTGACGGTGAAAAAGGCCCTGCTCCTCGCTCGACCTTTAATTGCTTTAACAATTAAGTGCAAAAAACAGATTAGGTCAACAACCCCGTCGTAGTTCTGATTGAGTTCTACCCTGACATGTTTTGCTTTGAAAAATCTGAAAAATCTGCACGATTTTTCCGAAGTTGATTCTGAAGTGACTCAACAACATAGTCAACATAGAATTACAGGAGAAGCGACGTGGGACACGATGAAGACTTCAATCCGTCATTTGCGTGGAACAACAAAAGATCGACTTGCAACTTATTTGAATATATGTTTAGGAAAGCAACAGAAAAGAGTCAACTCTTTGAACATTTGATAGAGACGGCTTAACCCTTCCCTAGGATTGTTCTTTAAAGTCTAATCAAATTCTGATGCTTGTGAAACTTCATAAAGTTCGTTAAAACAGTGGCAAAAGAGTTTTTAGTAAAAAGAAAACAAAAGATTGCAAAAAACGACGACGAGAGCCCCAACCGCCATATCGAGAGCACAATTCAGTCCATAAATGATCGCAATCACGAAATACCCAATTACCACCAATAATATCATATACCATTTCTCAAAAATCGATGAGTATTTGCTAAAATCCCATGTTGAAATTTATCATTTTCCTCAAAATAAACCCTGTGATCTTTGCGTATCGATAAAAGCAGTGAATCCCGAGCAAAGAAAGGGACATTTCAAAAGCGATTATGTAAACCTGAAAGTTTTAGAGATAAATTTGCATATTTATTAGTGAAATTTACATATTAAACTTTTCTTGGACTCACCGTGGTCATCACGTATGAATACCAAAAGCCTAGTTTGTGCAAATTCTTGCTGAACACGAGAAAACCGCTCTCGTCAATGATGAAAGCCTAAGATTCGACTTTAGAGGATTCCATCGAGCCAAAAAAGCTCGTTAGGCAAGGCAAGGCAAATCAAAAATCAAAAGAAATCATTCAATGTTCGTACTTCTACACACTCAAACTAAGCTTTTGACTAATGTTTCAACAATTATGGCTGCTCAGGCTCCGGCTTAGGCTTAGGCTTGGACTTAGTGCGAAGGCTAGCGGCTAGCCACGCACTAAGTCTATTTGGGTTTGTTTCGACAGTTGTGGCTGTTTTCCTATTGGCCATTGGTCAAAAGCTTCGTTTTAGTGCGCATAAGTACAGCAACTGTTTAGTGAACATTGAATGATTTCTTTGGATTCCTGATTTACCTTGATTTGCCCTTGCCTAACGGGCTTCTTTGCCCTGCCATCGAGACAAACCAAGTCGCAAACACAATGCACGAAAGCGTAATAGACATTGAAAACAGTGACAATGGCCAACATTCGACGATATCCATCGCCGCCTTTCTGAAATTGAGTTTCGTCATTGACAGACTGGAGGCAAAAGCTACTTACTACAAAAGTTCTGACGCCTCTTTTAGACCACTTTTACGATATTCTAAGAAGTTTTCAAGACTCAAAACCTACAAAATTGGCTTTTTCAAGTATTTTTCGGCTAGAAAATTGTTTCCTATCTTCGATTTTACTCATATAGAAAAGTTTATAGAACTTTTTATCAAAACATTTAAGATCTAAAATAGCTTTCCTAGCTTCGTGGCAAATTCGAATTTGGTATTTTCAAAAGTTTTTAGTAACTATTTTGCTACAAAAAGAGTTTGTTATAATTTCTTACGGTTTTAAAGCTATTTTAGCCTGTGACCTCAAATGTTTTCATAAAAAGGTCTATAAAATTTTTTAGATGAGTAAAATCGAGGATAGGTAACAATTTTCTAGCCTAAAAATACTTGAAAAAGGCCAATTTTGTAGGTTTTGAGTCTTGAAAACTTCTTAGAATATCGTAAAAGTGATCTAAAAGAGGCGTCAGAACTTTTTGTAGTAAGTAGCTTTTGCCTCCCCTGTGAGACTGACTATAAGACATTTTGCCCCAGATTCATGAATGATCTAGTGGGCCTGGAATCTCATTCGTAATAGGCTTTTCAGATTTTTGAAGAGACCAGAAAAGAAGTGAAATCTCGATTATATTTTGAAAGCTATGATAGTCAAAGAGTACTTTTAATTTGTAGATACGTCTGGGATTGTAAAGTGACTCAAAACAAGAGCTATTCAAATAGTTGAAGGTCAATCAACTCTCGGACATCAACGAAAAACTTTTGGCCTTCAAACTCACCGCTTTATCGGTTGAAATCAAGTACAGGAGCACGAAATTCAACGCGGTTCCCGAGCCACCAACCGTGTAAAGGGCGACTGTTTGTTTAAATGAGTCCATGTACTCTAAAAGTAAAAATTTTAGAAAGAATTGAAAGATTGCCAAAGAAATTAGACTAGAGCTTAGCCTTCTCACTATCAGAAATTTCCCCAGTAGTTCATTGGGTGTATTCAGTCGAAAGAAAACACAAAAATCTCTCCCCCCTTTCTGAGCTCATTTTTTTCGAATTTCACACACCAATAAAACTGAATAGCGGATTGATTCTAAGAATTAAGAAAAAAAGATCTCAGAGTTGCAGGATGCAGTCAGAAAACTGCAAACTAATTTCGCTGCCTTGAGTGATTTCAAAAAGGGAAAATTTGCGGCTAGACGCCATTGAAAATTGCTAACTTCTAGAAAGAAATGGAAAGCTTTTTGTGCAACCAACAATGATGTCTATGTACAGAAAGGGAAATCTCGGAAAATGCGGATGTGGACTGTATTCTAGCTAGAAACCAAGCGATTACCTATAGCTCTGTAGCTGTGTAGCTTTAGCTCAAATCTTACTACACCTGAACCGATGTGTGCTTCAGCAATTGACCAGAAGGTTAGGCCGAGAAGCTAGATCCTGGCAAACCTGGCCTTACCTTTTAGACTTACAATGCAAAAGATCCGGATAAAGGATAAAAGACAAAAAGTTCGGATCTGTTGTGAAGGTTGTGTGTATCGCTTGAAATACTGATATCCAGATCGCTCGAAGATTAGGAGGTTTGATTAGGAGAATCGACAACAATCGTTTATCCGATCTCTCTCAAACTTGGGTAATTAAACCGGATAAAAAGCACAGAACCGGTGTCAAAACTCATTTGTGGTAAAGTGCTTCATACGCAGAGCATGCTTTCGTCACAAAGTCACAGAGTACTTTCACAAAGACACTCACATGGTATCTTTGTTCTTTGTGCTCAACACGTAAATGCAATTCATCTGGCAAAACGCGCATTTAGTACCTGCCACATTTTAAAAGACTTTGAAAGTGAGGAAACCCGTTTTCAAATTCAAATGCCCCAAATTGTTTCTTCTAAGGGGAAAGTTGACCCTCAAAAATCACAATTTCAGTTCAGTTTCGTACTTTTCAAAAAAAAAATAAGGTTTTTAGCATACGCATTCGCTTAAAGCGATGAAAATGCATAAATAAGAAGAAAAACTTTTTGGCCAAACAAAAAACATGAAAAATGAAGCCTCTTGGATACTCAATTTTCCCATGCGAATCATGGTACAAGAAGTGTTTTTGAAAAAATTGCTCCCGAAACAAAAACTGCTTTAAAAATGAGAATTGAAAAATTTCTTCGGGATATTTGAAAATAAACATCAGAGATTATTTCGTAGAATTGGGATCTTTAAGATTTGAACAATGGAGGGTAAAATTGAGAGAAGACAAAGGAGAGAAATTACGCAAAAACGAGTGGAAATCTAGAATGATTGGGAAGAACAGAAAAGCACAAGATAGCACAAAAAGCACAAGATTGCTATAGTTTAACAACTGTAAGTATTAATAGTGAGTATGTAAGTATAATATTAGATTGGTAAAAAAGAAATGAGCGTCGTGTTTGTTGATTTGTACTTTATTCACAGTAAAAGATTTTTTAAAATAGTTTATTCTATTGGAAAGAGCGTGTTCTTGCGCATCGTTTGATATATTAGGTTGGAATAATAATATTATGTAAAAATATTTATTCAAAAAAAAGGAGACTTTCAATTGAGGTATTCATTGTATCTATGCTCTTCCCATCTTCTAAATCCCGATCCCATCCTCGATTGGGAGTTTTGAGGGAGTAGTTTCACTCTTTTTGCCTGAGATGTCTCGACTTTTCTCCCTCCAAAGTGCTTCGCGACCGAACAAAAGTAATCTGAGGAGCCAGATAGGTGAATAAGAGGTGGGGAAAACTTTCCAGCCGTTCCTCGATTTTATAGTGATCTTTGCAGTGTGAGGTTTTGGTTGTCGTGTAAAATCTGACTCTCTCGGTTTGAGCCCCATTTCTTCGAAGACTCGTTACTCTCTTTTGCTTCGAATAAAGATCAGATCGACGGTTTGGCCAGGTTTCGCCTTCTATGCCCAATCCCTTGGTTCCACCAGAAAGAGCATTATCTTCTTCCCATGGTATCAGGTTTGGGAGTGGTTTAAGGGGTCTGCCCAGCAGATAGCATTGATTTTGGTTTAGTTCTGTAGTTGATCCCGTTTGTGAGTCAACCCTGTGAAGTCGTTTGATTTCATTTTTGTAGCAAATTGAGGCGCATTTTTTGCTTTGGGTCGTTCGTGGGACCCATTTTCCAACTCGATTCTTTTCCCAAGTTTGTGTAATAGTTTTGATTGTCGTTGGGATACTTCAATATTTCTGCCAACTCACGAACGGTGAGTGTTGGGCAATCTTCAATTAGGCGGGCAAGTCATCGTCGCCACTTCTGGAGGTGTCCTTGGTGTGGTGTTACGAGGCTTTCATCGCCGCCTTGGAATCTTTGAAACCATCGTTGATATTGCCGAATGTGTTACTTTCCTCCCAAACGTGATGTCGTGGATGAGTTCAGCTGGTGTTTTCCTTGTTTATCGTGACAATGAAGCTCGAATACGGAATTTTCCTCCATTTTTGCCAAAAGCAAATGATGAGATTTGGAGCACTAAATGTTATTTATGTAGACATCTTTTACTTTGTATATATGCAAAAGAAGGGGCTTGAAATTACAAAAATGTTAGTAGTGACGGTATTATTGTTGAACTAATATAATTTGGCTATGTTTACTTTGTTTTTTTACAAGAAAGAGTGTTTAGAAAACGTAGGACCACAAATTTCGCTTGCGGGCTCGCTTGTGGTATGAATTTAGGCAAGGCAAATCGGCTGCTGAAGCTCATCGCGCTCTATCTCAAGTGTTTGACGAAGATGCTCTAGTTCGAAGTCGCAGCCGGTCGAGTTCTTCAAGAAGGGTATCCATTCTCTGCGTGAACGTTGGCGACAAGTCATTGATGCAGATGGCGAATACCTTTTGGATTAATGTATTGTTATCTTGTTTTTATAATAAAATAAACTTTTAACGAAAACACGCATTTCTTTTTTACCAACCTAATAGTAAGATCTGCGACTTTTAGGAATCAAATGGAGTAGGTCATCCAATGGAGAGACGCAAGACGACAACATGGGTGTACCTTTCGTGTTCTCACAAGAAAAAGCAGCACCTGGACACACGGCTCGCTCGGATAAGGCTAGTTTGAGGCAAATGAACTTGAAAAGGTGAGGTGAGTTGAGGCTTTGTTGCTTTTTTTCGTTCTTATTATTAAGAAATGTGTCAATTCTTCCCTTCACTTTGAGTACGACGTTAACACAGTGTATCCCTCAATTTACCGAGCTCTATCCAACAAAAAAAAGAGATCTTGGAAAACGGACTTTTGACTTTTGACCACAAAAGATCATCCAAAGTCACACTTTAATTGGTTTTCTTCAAAAGTTTACTTTTTTTGCTCCGTTCTAGCCACGAATTACAATATCTCTGACATAAATTTCCTGGTGTTGACCTCAAAAAGTCCTCTCTATTTAAAGATTTGTCTAGAATATTGTAAAGTTTTCATCTTGAGATAAAAATTTGCCTAATCTAGCAGAAACGCTTTTCAAAATTAGCCATTGGCTCCTTTCTGCTTGAAAAATTCTCGCAAGAATGGATTTGAAAAGGGAAATTTTGGCGCGTTTATAAGACAAAGATCTTGATCTTGACGTCTTGTGAGACAAGCAATAAAATTTAGAATTTAAATAGTAAGGCAACCCATTCAAAATTTGGAAAATAAACACTTTATGACAAGAAAGAAAGACAAAAATGCTTAAAACTATGATTTAAGTGAGAAAAACTGTAAAAACTTTAATGATTTTCATCAAAAGGTGCTAAACTGTGGCAAATCTTTGCTTTTTTTGCGTATAGCTGCTTCCAGACCTACTCTACAGGGTGCGGCATAAGTTCTGATACCTTTCTTTTGAAAGCCCGGACATCTGAAAAATAACAAAATTTAACAAATATTCAAAAGAAATAACAACAACAGATAAAAACAATTACAATAAATTCTCAAAATGATTACCATTAACTTCAATACATTTTTTAAGACGCTTCTGAAACGACGTTAATACGTTAATTTACCCATGAGTTTCACCCACCAATAAACCCTCCCCAAATCGTGCACATCGCACAAATAGAGAATTCAGAAGAGTAGAGAATATAAGCAGCCAACCCTTCTCACTATCAGAAGAATATGTCCATGGACTTGATTATTCAACTTTGTATGGAATTTTTTCAAATTTTGAATGAAATTCCAATCACTATGCCTATTATAGTGAACATTGAAAAATTCCTCTTATGAAAAGTTGTCTGAGACTCTGAAATTATTTAAACTCTGAAAATCAGAGCTCAACACTTCACAGCTTATGAATTCGCTGCTTTTATTCCTTGCTCGCAGGAACTTTGGTCTCAAAACTCAAACACCTCCGGTCTGGCACCCTCAATTATTCATGTTTTTTACAATACCAATTTGTTGCTACCTAAAACTACATTTTCTTGCGTAATTAAAAGCGAAGGATTTCGAGCTCTGAGCAAATGTCTCGTTTGCTGTTATTTATTAATTGAAAAAGATACCTCCGTTTTATCAAGCGACCCTTTGTGCCACACATTTTTGTTGAGTAACATTATCACCGATATCGTTCAAACAACTGCAAAAATCTTTGAATGGTGGATCATTTTCGATAAAAACTTTTTCAACTAACGCTATTAGTCTATTTTGTCAACAAAATGAACTCTAAAAGCCCAATTTCAATGGACCGGGCGATCCTCGAACCGATTGGGAAAGGACCTTATGTAAAGACTTTTCTGCTAAGGATCGCTAATCAGTGAGTCAAGTTTTAATCTGCTAAATCAATAGTTGACAAAATATTGTGGATTTGGTTGTTTAAAGTTTTCGCGCCATACATTAAACTTTGTCCAACATACGTCAAACCTTACAAATTTTGGTCGAAGACATCATCTTAAGCACCATGCTTTTGTTGTCACAGATA